GAGTGGGCAGAACTCAATGCTTTGTGTGACAAAGGGGAGGAGAAGGGGAGGGGGAAGGAAAAAGGGGAGGGAGGGGTAGGTAAGGGGACAGAAGTGTGGATGAACATAGGCGGGAAGATAGAAGGGGCTATAGGGAACAACCCATAACGGGCATATTGTCCTCCTTGTCCCTCTCCCGCCGGGCCACTTTTACCTCACCCTCGGTCCCAGATAAAAGAAGAAGGAATAAAACGAAGAAGGGAAAATGTACCTCCCTGTAGAGGAAGGGCCAAATGCATGACCTGCATCTGGCTGTCTGTTTAGGGGCAGTACATGTTCTTCTTTGTCCGCCGTTCCTACCCTCGAGCCCCGGCCCACAAAGAATAAAAAGAAGAGGAAATGTACCTTCCCTCCCGGAGACGCCAGGTGCATGGGCTGCACCTGGCTGTCCTCTTCCGCGAAGTGCACTTTTTGCGGCCTACCCATTTCTGATCATCACGCAAAAAGACAATGACCTAGAATCTAGTAGGAAATGGAAGCTGTCGCAGGGGGGAAAAAAAAAAAAGAAARAAAGAATGGGGGGAAAAAAGAAGACATAAAGACCAAGAAAGAGAAAGGGGGGGGAACCAAGAAGAAGAGGAAGACAGCGGATCGTTTCGTCCGAGGGGAAATGTACCTTGCTTCAGAGTAAGGCCAGGAGCATAACCTCCATCTGGCGAGTCTAGCCATTCCAGAATTCGAAGGGTGGGCGAGGCAGTCTCTGCCGCACAACGACGTTCACAATGCACATGAGAGCGCAGAGCACTGCTTGTGCGACAGCCATTGCCGCACAACCTTGCCACAGATTTATGGTGTTATACAGACCCCCTCTGTGTACATTGAATAAGGACGCGATGAGGGTCACGAGCACGCTCACCAGCCACAAGCACTGGCAGCACCCACCATAAGTCAGCGCCAAGCAGCCATGCGGGGTCAAGACAAGGAAATGACAGAGGTAAAAAAAGTCAGCAATCCCGGAAAAAAATAGAAGTAAGAACGCCACAAAGCCTATCCCCATTGCCGATGCATCTTTCAGCGATTGTTCGTCCAGATACATACGATTATACAACGGGTCGAAGAAGTCGGCATTCGAGAAAAGAGCTCCTGGCTTTCGTGATGACGGTGAGGAAGGAACAGTTTGGTCCGAGGAAGAAGAATAAGAAAGCGAAGGAGATGGAGAGAACCCAAGAGGAGGAGGAGGAGATCGAAGAGAGGGAGAAGATGGAAGAGAGGGAGCAGATGGAAAAGAGGGAGCAGATGGAAAAGAGGGAGAAGATGGAAGAGAGGGAGAAGATGGAAAAGAGGGAGAAGATGGAAAAGAGGGAGCAGATGGAAGAGAGGGAGCAGATGGAAGAGAGGGAGAAAATGGAGAAGGAAGAACAGGAGCAGGAGGAGAAGGAGAGGTGGGTAGTAGCGATGGGGTAGTGGAAGTTTGCTGCGGAACGAAGCCGTTTGCTCTCCATGCGACGGCGGTAGAATCATTGAAAGGTTCTGCAGTTGTGGATGTGGTGTCCGAACGATTTCCCATCGAAAATGTGAATGATGCTGGTAAGGGTAGTGATGGTATAGAAAGGTCAGTGGAAGCCCCGCGGTAGTGAAGACGAGGGCAAGCGCGGGAACGCCATCTGGAAAGGACAGAGCACCAGGTCTGTTGACAGGCCATCGACGTGGCGTCGGGACTGGGACTATCCATCGCGACAGAGTCGCATACCAGCGTCTGGATCTCGAACGCTCTACGCGAAGGGGAGCGGGCGACGATGACGCAGATCAAGAAGGCCGCTCCGATGTGTGACAGAACCGCGGCAGATGCCACCCACACCTCCCGCTTCGTCGTGCGAAATCGCCCGCTGTCGTACTTTGATGCCGCCCATGATGACATTTCTCCTCCTCCTTGGGCTTGACAATTTTTGCCGTACTGAAAAAATATATATATATGAAAAACAAAACAAAAATATGAATATAAAAGAAGTACTATACCACCCCCAGCGAAGCTCGCGCTAACCACTTACTACCTCCTTCGGCTTTTCCCTTTCCTTCCCGTGCAGCCGCGCATACAATCTCTGCAGTCAACTTGCGTTAACTGTCTTCATTCGCTTTTCCAAATTTGTATTATTACCGTTTCTCTCTCTCTCTCTCTCTCTCTCTCTCTCTCTCTCTGTGTGTGTGTGTGTGTGTGTGTGTGTGTGTGAGTGTGTTGTGTTGTGTGTGTGTGCCTGTGTGGTGAGATTGGTTGGGTTACCTCTCTCGCCTGTTCTCTCTCCACGAGCAGACGAACGGTATAGCACATCTGTCCTATCACGGCAACGCGCCGGTGGAAGACTGAACCTATACTAGCTTCGGTACCCTTCGAAGCTAGCGGGTGGAAAACCGAACCTACTAGAATCGGTACCCTTCGAAGCTAGCGGGTGGAAGACCGAACCTACCAGCTTCGACACCCCTTGAAGCTAATAGTGGTAACGAAAGTTCTCTACTGCTACATCCGCGGGCCACGAACTCAGAATACATGCCCAATGTCGGTGCGGTCGAGGTTAGTTCGGCTGAGGGGTGCTTCGGTCGCCGCTACTGAGGCTGGGCGGCCTGCTGGTTCGGGACTGGCCGGTTGACTCGGTTGGTAAACATTGTGAGCCGCTCGTGAATCAGATCTCTGCTTTCGAATAACAAGTCTACCCACCGCGGCTACGCTCGCGGCGCAAGAAAGGGACACGGGCCAAGGAGAGGGAGCGGTACAGAGTAATGAGGGGTGACAGAGAGGGAGGAACGAACACACTTCCACAGGAACCAACGAAAGATGTTTGCAGGATGCGAAATGAACAGGAAGGAATTGACTTGAGAGCACGATTATGCGATCTCTCTCTCTCTCTCTCTCTCTCTCTCTCTCTCTCTCTCTCTCTCTCTCTCTCTCTCTCTCTCTCTCTCTCTCTCTCTCT